AAAGGTTCTGGTGATCGCCATCGGGCATTGCTTAGAACCGAAGCTTCTGTATTTTATTGCTTAAAGATCCTTTTCCGAGTTATATCTTCAGCGAACATTTCAGGGACTACCTAGTGATAATGCCCATCTGTTTGGTTTTCAATTCCTTGAACGCGTTTGAGGTGGTGTCATCCAGTCCTGTCCGGTCCCAATCCATGTTTTAGTGGAAGTTTCTGACCCGTTCCAATCAGGCCCGAGGATTGATTCACTATCCGTGACAATCCATGAAGCCCTATGGTGAGAGAGGTCACGTAGTGATGTCACTATATTATGACGTCGTCTGTGCACGTTTGCATGACTGTTCGTGCACTTCCAGCTGCGGGTAAAACTTCACGTAGCTAGTTGCTCACCAATGATGCCAAGTGCGGCAGTTGTGTCTTGGTAACACGCGCAGGCATCAAAGCAACAGACGTGTTGCCGGGTAACCGAAGAAAGCCATATCAGATCGCATTATGGCCGGCACCTTGCCAGGGATATGGTGCACAGTCGTCAGACTAGTGTTGTCCACATTGTAGGATTGGTAGCCATCTCCATACTTAAACTTGACGTCAACCAAAGTGGCCTGGCACAAACTCAGTTTGATCTTGAACTCACGACGCCTGACACCTTTTCCGATGCAGCGAATCCAGCCTTCCACACGGTGGCTGCCGCAAGCCTCTATGAGCAGACTTTGCTAACGAGTACACTCGCGCTGGCTGAGGAGCATCACCTGTGTGTGCCCTTCATGACCCGTACCGTGATGGCCTGCTTGAATGAGGCTGGCTAGGCCATTGTAGCCAATAAAGACAGTCGATTAGGAATCGTCTGTTACTCAACTACTAGCTTCAGGGGTACGGAGATGAGGCCCAATGGACCCAGTCGCATTCGGCGGCCAAAGGCGGAAGGATGCGGGAGGCGGAATGGGTGACAAACAGGGATGCTTCTCCTCCTCCCGTACCCACCGCCTTGGTCGTGTCCCACGCGATGACGTTGGTCGAAAAATGAATCGTGGACTAACTGCAGCTTTACAGCATCTTCCATTTGGATGCATCCAGCACAGTTCCATGGCAAATGTCCCGTCTGTTCAAAGGTTGAGAGCTTATTACATATCTACGTCAACTGGCTTCAACGATGTCGGTTCCGGTGCTGGGACCGCCAGTCACGGCTGGTGTTACATCGACATGCGACGTTATGAATCTGTCTGCCCGGGGTCTGACTGCGTCCTGGAGTTAACCGGCTTTGACCAAATTGACGACTGGTGGGCGACATGAAGCAACGACCACACTGTTCGTTATGTCTTTGGGAGATATCACCACAATAACAAGCGAAGTTTTGAATCTTCAATAAACAGACACTATTCAAGTAGCAGTGCTCAGGTCTCAATTTAAAGGGAGGCATCCGCCTGTGTAGGTTTTGAACTGAAATGGCCATCTTGGAGATTATTCGGTGCACTGCATAGCCCTGCCCTTCTTATGCCCTGAAACCCTCTAGTTTTTTGGCAACACACCCACGAAGATACGCAGACTTATTCGTGCAGACTATTTTGAGGCTACTCAGACATCCTTGACGTCATAATAACGTAATTGAAATTCTGCCATTACACGCGCCATTCGGCGTTCGAGGTCAGGAAAAATATAAGTGTCGAGTTGTTGATACCTGGCGGTCGTAAACACGACTCCAGATTTCGTAGGCGCCAATTGGCTCTCAGCCACTGTTGCGCAACATGTGCAAGATTGTAACACGAATTATGCTTGTGCTACATGCTACAAGAAGTTATACAATCTTCCTAGTTATTATTAGACATAAGACTCATAAACGATTAGCTTAGGAACATCGCCATAACAGAGCATGTGAATACAAGTAAGCCCCCCCCCCCCCCCGAAGCTTACTGATAAATATGTGCGTATCAAAGCCATGAGAAGAGCCAAAACACGAGTACCTAACGATATTTGGTTCAGTACACATCCGACAACGCCCCAACCACCTATCGGGAGATTGAAGAACCACAAGTGAGTATTGATAAACTTTCCATGACGCAATCAAACAATGACGTATGAGGGAGTACACTTACTAAATTTAGTAACATTGTCGTTTGGAGCAGCCTTTTCCACTTAAAAGTATGCTAGTAGTTATAAATGGGATTATTTCATCATGCCTCATACTTGCTTCTGTATCTTCGAATGTACAACGTTCCCTTTAATTCAGGTAACTGCGCATATGTTTTAGTTACCGATGGAACCGTGAGCACAACCTCACAGACGATACTTTTCTAGACTTCCGAAGAACATCCGCAGGAGATAGGACCTGACTTCTCTGGAAACCGCTCGAACTCAGTGCAAACCAGCAGATAGCCGCTTGGCATGGGTTCAGTTGCATCTGTCTAGAAAGTCCGATAACATTTGGTAATTGGAATTCAGAAATCCGCGGAATACCAACTACACGCCACGCTGGAGATAAGGCAAGATCGCATTTGCATTCAAATCACAGGGCTTATCCTCCTGCATGTGCTTGGGTAGAGTTTTCGGTCTTGCAACCAACGACGCAAACATATACATTCTAAATGATACATGGAATTCGAAACGAAGGTTGTAGCTCTCGAAACAGCTCTGTCCTGGGTCGTGCGCAACGCACAACAATACATTGCGCTGTTGTGCACCTGCTGTTGGTGTAGAGCAATGCAAATACAAAATGCGAGATTCAAAGAAATGAATTCAAAGCACCGGCATTTCAACAACGCGCAGTCATCTTGGCAGCTGCATTTCCGTCGGAAAGACAAAAATCCACGCAAATTAAGAATGCATCTCTTGCCCATCCTCTGTGGTCTGCAGTTGGAAGTCAACGATGCCATTCCGTGCAAACTTTGCCCCCAACTAGTGTGAGCTATTATCACAGGTATCGCCTACTTGCGTACTCTCACATCACCTACTTACGTACTTAAGCATGCAATTGCTGTCTGCGCGAATGCGGTGGATGCAATTAATTCAGGTGCCCCAAGAACACCGAGCCACTCCAATTATCAGTGGTGCGTGGCCACTTAGCTAATCACAAGACAATTAGTTACCGGCGGAAGGAGGTGAAAACCCTGAGACAGGCAGCCTTGACGTCGTGCGGCGTTTACAAAACCCATCCTTTCATGGGCGGTGGAGCGTATGCTCAAGAGCGGAAACGGTAGCAAATCTGTTCACGTCGTGGATCCAGACAAGCTTCACAGCTTGCATCCTTTTCACACGTTTCACACGTCACACGTTCACTTTTCACACGTCGAAGGACACATGCCCGGCAACATTTCTGTTCTGAAGCAGTTGGCAAACTAGCTTTTAAATGAAGTCCAAGTTTCATGCGAATCGAGAACCTTTCACGCAAATCTGACACGACGCTTCGCAAGGATCGCCCAGACACACTGGCTCTCTTAAGCGCGGCCTGTTGTGAAGACCCTGACCCGACCATTCTAGGGCGGAGCGATTTCAGTTCTGCGAATAATCCTTGCCTGACCATCTGTCTCGCGCCGCGATGTAGCGTGACCTGACTAGCCCGTTTCGAACTAACTCGCCTGGCAAGCCGCCATTTGGCCGCATAAGTGCCGTTGCTGGGACGCGAACGCATGCCTGTCACACAGTGGTGCGAACGTTCGACGTCACAGTAACGTTAAGTAATATGAACATTAACTGGAGGTCAGAGCCAGGGACATGTGAAGCATGTCGGAATGGGAAGGGCACAACCAAAACAAAAATGGTGAAAAGGGCCATTTTAGTGCAATTTAAGCGCACAAAATCCCTTGCAAAGCGTACCAAAACATCGTATGTTTTCAATATTCTATTGGTGTGGAGATTTTCAATCCACTATTGATAAAAATACGCTGTTTTGACGTGTTTACCGCGACGTTGGTCTATCCCTGCAGCTCAGTCAGCTGAAGTGCCTGCTTCCCAGTCTGCCCGTGGTGAGGTGGGTGGGTACGAGTCGCTTCGGCGCTCGCTATTGGCCCAAGGTTGGGATGGCCTGTGACCGACCGCAGCGGCTGCTCAAGGTCAGATGATGTCGGAGGGCGGAACGGACCGTGTCAAACGGTGTGACAAGTCACACTTTTGCCACAAAATGTTCCGTTGGACTTAAATTCCACGATCCGATGGCGGGGTCAGGGCGCACGCAACGAGCGCTCCTTAGCGTGGGTCTTGATCCCAGGAATCCATGGAATCGAATTGTTGGGTAAAATGTTGAAGTGCTCAACTGCATAGCCACACCGGCAATACCATGAGCCTTTGCTTGGCTAAATGTATAGCACCATGACATCGCTCAGTGTTTCTTGTCACCAGTACCGTTCAAGCACGCATTCACACTTTCTATTTCGGACGGGCTTTGATTTTGCCCGAGGCACATATTTTGCCCTTAGAATGGCGCCACAGCCCTCCCCCCCCCCCCCCCCCCCATTAAGCATGTCTGTCGGGCTTGTGCATCACCTACGTTGTCCCCGGTGTTCGTAAGCTGGTCACTGATGCCTCCATTGTCCTCACAGCTGAGTTGAAACAGCACTTACATCGTAACTCACCCCGAAACAGCGCGCTACCATGATGATATCAATAATTCAGGCTCACTGGTCACGTGACAGCAGCTCAGATTGTTCAACATCCGGCGTCATCTGTTAGTTATGTTGCGACATGTTGCTCACATTTCAACACAATCACAGCACAAAATTTTAATACAGTCGCACCACGAACGTCACAGCTCCATTCCAGAGCAGTGCTGCGACGTTGGAGTTAGTAATAAGACTGAGCGGAACTGCGTCGGCTGCGCGAATTCCGTACCACTCAACCTTCTGCGCATGCGCTGCTAGACTCCGGGTGTCAGTCAGTCTCAGCATGTTTCAAAGTCACCGTGGCACAATCGCGAGGTTAGTCGGCTGGGCTCAGCAGCACAGCCAGATCATTCAGTCTCCCACTGCGCATGCGCCATCAAACGGCGTCTGGGTTTGTCGTGCACGAACTCACTGATTGGCGAGCTGCCCGACTCCATCATCTCCAGCATGATGTCTCCCGTGCCCACCTCGTACCGTTCCCGGTACGTCAGCCGCTTCCCCACCTCGTGTATCGTCTGGTGCAGCTGGCGGCGGTAGTGACGCATCAGGAAGTAGTTGGACGGGAACAGGGCTCCGACTCGCAGCACCTGGCGGTCGCCCTCGGGCGTTGGCTTTCCTTGAACTCCCGCCGCGGTCGCCGCCAGGAGGCAGCACAGCATGAATGACCGCATGGCGGCGCCACCGGCGTTCGTGACGTCACGGTGGCTTAGCGCTTGCCGACGTCCATGATCTTGCGTCGCTGCCTTCCACTATCCCACATTGCCACACACTGTCGCCTTGGTGCAGGCGTTGGTTTGATGGAGATCCTTTCAACGGAGAGCAGCGAACCCATCCATTCGGTTCAACGACGTCACACGGAGCTCCAAACCGCGCACTTCGTGGTGCGTCACTGTCACTTGAATCGCCACATTTGAAGTTGTATTATTTGCTCCCGCGGCTTGAACGTTTCCAAGATTTCTGAAACCCACTCATTGTTACTCATCATACCATCACATGCGGAAATTTGTGTGCGTTCTCGTATGCGTGTGACGTCAATGCCAAATCAAGGACAATAGGTGCACACGCCATGTTTTTAGATCTACCGAAAAATGGCTGCTGAGTTCTTATGCAAAAAGTTGCGGCATACACTTCGGACGCGGTCAGGATCTTTCTAATACTGGAGTTTTATCATTGCGACCCAGCAATTTCACACATCTTTGCCTTGTCGCGGGCCCAATGGGTGGCAAGTAACCCAGTGATTCTGCAATACCAGTAGCGTTGCATTCAGTGGCACTACGGCCGAAGTCAAAGAGCAGCAGAAGCACTTTTTCAGGTCTTGGGATTTACTGAGACTGCAAATTTCAAGCAAACGGACAGCCTGGTTGTTTGAGGGAAAATAAAACTAGAAAGCATCTTTTAGTAGGCCTCATCCCGTTCAATGCTCCAGAAGTCAACTTGTTTGAACCAGTCAGGTCTTGTTTGAATATCCCCTGCGCCTGCGTCAGTTGACACCTGCGACTCCCAAATTTGTATCGGCTTATCCTGGCAGCCGGCCGCCACACATGCCTCCCCCTCCCCACTTGCGGTCAGACCGCCAGCGGCGCGCCCGTTCACGCAGTCCGGCCGCTCCGGCGGGGGGCCGTGGACGAGCCAGGGCGTTTGTTTTCAGTAAAGCGCGGCATTTCGTCGGCCTGTCGCACCCCGCCGGGTCTGTTTGCAGTGCGGCGTCTGTTTGACGCGCGCCGCCTGCCGACGTTGAGCGATGGAGGGCGCGGGCCGTCGGGACGACCCCGTTCCCTCGAGGTGCCGTCGCCCCCCCCCCCCCCTCCCCGTCTGAGTCCGCGTCGACTGCTGACCTGGCGCGTCGGTGACCGGGCGTCTGCGAGGCGCGGTCAGGCGCCGCTCTGCTGGCGGCGTCGCGGTGGCGCGCGACCGCGGACGAACGGGCGGGAGGTGGAGGTGGTGGCGCGCGCCGGCCGCGGCTCCCCGGCCGCCGCTGGCGCCGCGCCGAGACGGGTGCGGGGCAGGCGAAGACGATCGCGGCACAACAGGCCCCGTAACAGGTGCAGAGCGATGCGGCTGCCGCTACTGTCGCGTGGCCGATATATTATGAAACAGCGCATGCCCCAGGCCGTTGATGGCCAATCATGGCATGTCTGAGGCTGTGCGAGATGGGGGGGGGGGAGGGGGGATCAGATGGGTCGCGTGGTAGACCACATACCGGCCTATTACGCAAAAAGCTTTGAGTTACTTGGCCAAAATACTCTGGTTGGTTACCAATGTTGGTTTCAGTTCCACATGGCCTAGCTTTTAAGTCACCTTCCTTGTCCGCGATAAACGGGAAAAGATAGGCCACCGGGGACTGAGCGTCCGCTTCTACGAACGGGTATTGGTGATTGAAAACGGTGCAGGCTGCGACCGCGAAAGGTTATATGAGGTCAGATTATACACTTACAACAAACTTAATTTTTCTTTTCGTCCGTTAACAGTCGTCATCTGCCATGAAAACTCGGGTTGTCTAAATGACGGACTGGCATGAACGTTGATTTCAGAAAAAGACAACGCCACGACCTGACAAAGTCACGAGAACTTGACCAAAAATAGACTAAACAGACGATCAAGGTGTCAAATTACATTATTTCGTGAAAGCTCTGCCTAGCATGATGATACATACGACCCGATATCGGTGTGGACCCTCAAATTTAAGTTTTTGCTGAAATGTTTAACACATGAAGACGAATTTACATATTAGATAAGGCCTCCCTTCCATGTGCCTAGCTTGACAGCCATGGCCAAAATGCTGCTGTAAAGAAACATTTGCTCTAATGGTCATTAAGGATCCATTTCTGACTCAAGTTTTTTTGTTTAATGTTCCCTTGCAAACCAACTTTTTACTCGTACTCAGTAATATCAGTACCTATTCTGCGAGCTTCGTTTTGATTTAAGATTGCAAAGCTCATGACGTCACGTAGAGATGTGTATTTCTATTATTTTTTAGTTTGTGCCTAACTTATGTCAGCCTTGGCTGCTCCAGGGCTTATTTAGGGCCCCGAATGTTTGCTGTCCGTTTTGTCTGGACAAATAATTATGAATCACAGCGACTGCAATACATAATAGATGATCAGAAGGAGCCAAGTGAACATTGCAATGGCCCAAAAATAGCGCATTTCCCAGTACATTTAAAGGAAACGTTCCATATTCGAAGATATGGTAGCAAGCATCAGATATCATGAAATTCGTTCACATATAACAATTGACATAGTTTTATAAGCGGAACAGACTGCTCTGGACAGCACAATTTCTCTGCTAATTTCTCTGTTGATTTCTCTAAACATGCCCCTTATCACGCTATTATTTGGTTACGTCATTATATTTTGTGCAACATTTCTTGAAAACCGTTATATCTGAAAATTGTGCTCACGAACGCCAGATACGAACGACTCGACAGTTATATTTATATTGGCCTTGATCAGCGCATAGCTAATAAATTGGTCAAATTTGAATGACGTCATTATAATGTCATGGAGACCCGTGTGACCTTGAAATGGTCTCCCCGAAATAGTCTGCATATCTTCGCGGGCATGCAACCCAGAAACTAGAGGGTTTTGGGTCTCAAGAAGAGCAGGACTTTAAACTTCACCGAATGCACTTCAAGATGGCTATTTCAGTTCAAGTACCGCACAAATGTGGAACACTCCCTTTAAACAGAAAAGTTACAAAATTAAAGCTAAAACCGTCGATGGGCTTACAAAAGCAAGAATTCGTTGAAAGACACATGTATGGAGATGCTAGATTGCTGGGCTACAGGTCCCTCCCACCCACCTACACAATCCATTTCACAAACGATGACCTTGCTGACAATCATCCGAAATGACGTGACAATTATCTGACAGTAATCCGTTAGGACATGACAGACCGGACATACCAGAAAGGACATGGCAGAGAGAACATGGCAGACAGGACATACCAGAAAGGGCATGGCAGAGAGTACTTGGCAGGCATGACATGACAGGCAGAACATGACGTCCAGGACATGATATGCCATGACATACAGGACATGACACATGGGAAATGACAGGCACGACATGACACACTGAACAAGACAGACAAGATATACCAGACCAGGCATGACATACTGGACAGGACAAACGGTACATGACAGTCATGTCGTGACAGGCAGAACATGAAAGACAGTACAATGACGTATTGTTAAGTGGGACTTGAAACGTGGATGTGCTTGCGTTCAATACAGAATAGTCCAAAAAGATGTAGTAGTAAACTATTGTAAGAGATATTGTAACCGACTGGCCGAGAGTAGAGCGGCATTTTTTAGGGTAATCTAATGAAGTTAATCATGTATTTACAAGCATATGTATGTATATATATATATATATATATATATATATATATATATATATATATATATTATATATATATGTATATATCCTGCAAATATTTTCTATGACACACTTCCTGACAATGCTTTGACGTCTGAAACCGGCGTACCAAGAAGAGCCAGATATGAAAACACGAAACAAAAGCAAACACATTTTAAACGGCCTCGCAGGAACTGTTCACAGCTCACACACGTAAATGCACTTGTTTGAGGCTATGTAACCATCGCTCCGGCCCTGACACGGGCACGCAAGAGCTGCCAATGGAATATGTCTATCCATAAGGTGCCCTGTAGCAGCAGACAGATCTCTAGTATTTTCCCTGCCGCTATTACCACGACTTGGCGCCAGCACTTATGTAAACAAGCAGCAGCTGTCGGCAGATGCTGTGGACATCTGGGCATTTGAGCACCATTCGCCCTGTTGATTTATCGAAACAGGCCGTTGTATGCACCCCTGGACCTATTTCTGAACCGTTTTACTGCCGTCGTCGGGGGCAGCCGCCAACACAAACCATTCTGCTTCCATCGGCCTTAAGCAGCAAGTGACTGAGGGGGTTTTCCTGCCCGCAGGGATGGAGGGACGAAGTGACGGAGGGACGAAGGAACGGAGGGACAAAGAGACGGAGGGATGAAGGGACAGAGACATATGCAGTGACAGCGACAGAGGAACATGGAGAGAAACCTAAAATCTTGATATGTATTCAAAATAACACCTCATGCTTCATGTGCCCAAAGGTGAAGCTTAAGGTCACCATAGGTCCCGTCATAATGACGTCAGAACTTTGATCGTCGATCGCAGTTTTGAAGTCTGCTCCGGTATTTAGCTGTTATGTGACGCTCCCTCGAGGGGGTGCCGGTAGTGTAGTGGTTAATGCATCTGCATTAACCAATGTGCGTCTGGGAAATCAGAGGTACGGGATTCGATTCCCCGCGGTGCCCGCCCTTCCTGTCAGGGTGAGAGGCAGGCGACGCCATATCGCCTCAGCAGCTGAGTGCGTCGCAAAGCCCCAACGACATGACATATGACGCTCCCTCGTTGAGTGGTGCATGTATGCACCGCGACTGCCAGGTCGGAGACAGGGTTGGACGCACACTGAGCATAAGGGGTTCTAACTAAGCATATCAGCTGTAGTGAACACTCGACAGACTATTAGTCTCGGTGCCCCGAATCGTCTCATCCCAGTTCCCTGCAGAGTCTCTCTTGGCTACGGTGGACAGAGTCTGAGTTCTGTCCACAACTCCCAGTCGCAGTGGGCATTTGCCGTGATTGCCCGTTCGAAGTGGATAGACGTATTGCCATCATCATCATCATCATCATCATCATCATCATCATCATCATCATCATCATCATCATCATCATCATCATCATCATCATCATCATCATCATGTCATCTGGCAGTGACAAAGAGTCTTCACATCTTTATCACAATCCCTCAACCGCATTGAGCAGGCGCGACACAGTAACTCTGTAGGCTGGGCAGACCTACCCTGGGCTCTGCATCGCAGTGAGCAAGCTCCCTCTCTGAGCCCCGGGGCGATATTTCCCCGCTCGCCGTTTTGGGCGCCGCCGGACCAGCAGCATCCACGGACACCGCGGCCGTTTCCAGCTAATTCTAAATGCATTGGGCAAAGTTGGAAATGGGCAGAACTCCTTGCCACTTAGCCTTGCGAGCTTCGGAGCTCCGAGAGCCCCGCTCCCAGCGGAGATCCTGGACGTTATTTGATCCCAGCGCGGCGAAATATGATCATTAAGGCCACTCATATGCCGTTCATGAGTTGCCAGTAAACCAGGGAGAGATATGCTTGCGTTTTGCGTTATTTTGAGAACAGAATTGCTCGCTTGGTCCCTTATCTTTCCGCACCTGGTATGTATTAACAGTGATGCATGAAAAGCTACAGGTTGAATGGGCAGCACATTGAAGTAAAAGAAAATCTGCGACCAGCATGTTTGTTGCAGTGCTATAACGTTCTTAATACTTTGGTCAGGATGAACACCTGATTTTCGGAATATGTCGCCTGTACTTGATTTTTATGCATCTCGATACTTTGGTCGGGATGAACACCTGATTTTCGGAACATTTCGCCTGTAATTGATTTACATGCTTTCTGATCCACACCACAACTGCGCAACATAATTCCCAACAGGAGCAAAGGGCGCATATGCAGCAAAATAGTCAACCGAACACTTACTTAAGCAATTTCATAAATACGTCGCTTTCAGCGCAAACCGTTAAAAGCATACGGCGTCAAGAAGTACCCAAACCTTTTATATCTGCGTTGGACAAGCATTGGCTTCAACGGAAATTGCTGACGTCATCCAGTCTGATCACTAATGCGCCTTGCCCAAGCTGGTCTCAATAGATCAACGGAACCGAGGCCTAGTCTCCAAACTGATTGCACAGTAATCGAGTGTGTCACCACAGCCAACCCCATTCCATCTGTCAGTCTGGAGAGCCGGCGGCAAGTCGGCTGGGTGCCTGAGGCGACTCACCGGCCCCACTCACTCGCCGCAATTCACAAACTCCGCACACGCCTTCGGCGACGGTCGCCGCTTCGCGCAACCGCGCCCGGCCGCACGCCCTCTGCCGCCGACGCACTCGCCGCGAAAACGCCACAATCGTCTGCACGCCCCAGAGCGGCGGGCTCCTCCGCGCAGCGCAACCCACGACCGTCCGCCGGCTTATTTTAGAAACAACTGGTATCGGTGTCTTGCCGCCCGCGTAACCGGTGACCGCGCCGCGGCCGCCGCAGGCTATTTCTGTATCGGGGTCCGCTCTGGCGGCGGATTCGATGCTACAGGTTAGCTGCGATTGTCTGGGTTAATAGCTGAAGAGGAGGGCGACGAGTACGCGGTTCGGTTTGCGCGACGGGGTCAAGTGCGTGGTACCCACTTTGTCATGAGCCTAGAAGTCGACGATGCGGTAAATTGATGAATAATGGCGCAAACGAGGACGTGGGGGTTGATGATAACTATTTGTGCTGATATGTTCAGCCGGCTTATGATGCTGGAGACAGCCGGCCCTTTCGTACTGCCCGTGCGCCAATTCAAATCGCGTCATAGTGCATTGTCTTGCACAATTTTGGTTGCGATAATGCGCAGTTCAAGAAGCAAAACGCTTGTTCCCACGACAGCCAAGCAAAGCTGCGAAATCTCTTCGAGTTGTGCTCTGACATCTATTAATCTAGTAACGAATTCAGGGACCCAGCAGTGCGCAGATGAATGGTGGCTTTCAAATAATAATGGACAAACCACTCAACATCCCGCTTCGTCCTCGGGGACGCCATGCATGCAGTTTAGTTGTTTAGTTGTTTTATGGCGCTTCAGTGACAGGGCATATTTCAAGCATCGCAAATAAACCGCTCGCGCGAAGAGCAGATAAATAATTTAAGTTACTTCAGATATCGCACGAACACTGCGATGGATACTTTGAGCAGGGCGTGGCCTGCAACTATTCGCAGTGGGGGACCGCAGTGAGACTTTGATAGGCATCACAGAAAGATAGTGAGAGTGTAGAGAGACCCCAGCGAGGCAGTTAGACTACAGCAATGCATTGTGACTCGTTTCAATGGAATAGTTTCAAGTGAAGCGCGCTCAATCAAAAGTTGCAGTGAGGATAAACGAACGAGCGGTTCTTCTGCGGGAGAGGGGAAGTGTGAGCAGAGAGACCGCACACTCATTGCAAATAACCTCCAGGAACCCATGGCCCCACGTCAGCATCGCAGTGGCTTCACGGGGTCTGAGTATAAGGTGAAAGTCACCCCATGGAGTGTCGCGACGTTAACTTTCCATCACTTAACAGTCACCATTTTGACGTCCTGAAACGGCATTGCTGCACGATACAAGGCTGACTAAAACTGAGTTTGGCGACCTTAATGATTTACCGAAGGTGGCCTTGACCTGGTATGACCGTTACACGGAACACATCACTACAGATGCCTGACAGTCACTAGCTAGCTATCTACACATACATTTAGTTCAGATGGGTAAGTGTCCGACAATCTTATTAATACGGAGCAGGCACGTGGGTTTGCGTTGCAGAAAAAAAACGCGTGCATGCCTGATCTTTTGAAGATCAGTCATTAACGGTGGAAGGAGTTGGGCTAAAACATGGGCGTTGCGGCAGCACTTTTGACCATAGGTGTAGCCGTGTCTTTAGATTTAGCGGGGCAAATCAAGGTTGGGAAGGGGGAGGGGTCAAGCTGGAATATGGAGAGCAAATCTGGCCTGAAAATAGGCATTTTGAATGGGAAGACATGAAACCGTGCATTTGTGTGGACAGAACTGAGGGGACAAACTGGTACTCCGTGGAAATGGAAGGATATATGTCCCTCCCGCCCCCCCCCCCCCCGCCGCCATTAGTTACACTCATGTTTGTGACGGTTGAAGTTGTCTGGAAAAACAAAAATTTCCGTTGAACTGGGATTATTGATTATGTGGTGGGAATAAAGATCTTTGCAACTTGCCACACTTGCGAGGGCTCTGACCTAAATGTCATTCCTGCAAAACCATCGGGCCAAATTTGCTTTTGAAACACCGATTCATGGTATAGTAGCCCAGCCCAGCAGGCCAGCTGGACGTTGAAGGGTTCACCTAAACAAGGCTTAAGTTAAACACTTCGAAAGTTGCGGCATATCATTATTATTGCCTTTTGCAGAAATTCTAGAATAAATTTGATGAAATAATGCTCGGTGAAATAATTTTACGATGTGTTTGCTTCAACATGGAACGCTTCCGGACGACTGCAGTCCTTCGAAGCGCGGGAGCATCCATGGTGAAGGTCTCAGATATGGTAGATAGATAGTAGGTCTCAGATATGGTAGGTCTCAGATATGGTAGGTCTCAGATATGGTAGCAACTCCGGCCATACCGTCATGGGAACAGCTAAGTAAAGGATTACAATGGGTGCAATATTTCCAATGTTCTGTGTCTGTTGTGGCTACAATGTCACTATCTAGGATAGCTATTTATATGGATATTATATATTCTATAGATATAGATAGATATAGATAGCTATAGATATTCCTCCTGAAAAAAGGTGGCTTAAAGATATGTTATTAGTAGGCTCAATCAATTTACCTCATGGTTTGACCTTATAGGCTGCGTTAAACTTGCGTAGCCTTTGCAAACGTTGTGATCATTGATAACGCTCGAAATACAACTGCTTTCAATGTTTAGAACTCTACACAAGAAACCCGGTGTTAAAGGCCAAAACTGCGTGTGATTGACGATTTTTCCAATTTTCGCCATTGGGACCTTTGAGAACAGGGTAATGGCGCACTGACGTGACATGGAACGAAGGTGATAGTCTTAGGTCGAGGGTAAAATACGTTTTTTTAGAGAGCTTTGCAATATCGTCGATGCTTCACTGACAACGTCGTATAAAGGGCATGCCCCACGTCTGAAGATGTTGAAGCAAGCTTCAGATATGATTAAATAAGCGCATGCCTAACTATCAGGCTTTTAAGTGGAAAAGACTGCTGTAAACAACACAATGCCTATGTTGAGTAAATATGCTCCTCAATACGTCGTGGTTTGATTAAGCCATCGTCCCTTGTACGACATTTAATGAGAGCCTGTTGGCGGCCGTGATATCTGGAAATCGTGCTCACAGACGCTAGATATGAACGGCTTGACAATCGTATTGTTTTACCTTGATCACCGCATGACCAATATAATTGCAGGATTTGAATGACGTTATGTTGTGTGTCATGAACGCCCGGGCGACCACATTCTCCACGCAACAGTCTGCACACCTTCGCGAGCGTATAACTTAGCAACTAGAAGAGCCTTTAAGGTCTTTTCTGTTATATCAAGGTTCTCACATCAGCTGGCCCCAATCAAATTGCGACCAATCAAACTCTGCGAACATGCCTCTGAAAAGTAAAGGAGGGCCGCGCAGGCCACCTAAGTTGGCAAGGGCTGAACCTTGCCCGAAAGCCAGGTAAAACTCGAGGATGCGACGAGTCAATGTTCGTGAACGCATGCGCGATGCCTGGCCAACGAAGCATTCCGTTTGGTGGCAGCTGCCTTCGCCTCTTTCCTCGCATAAACGACTTGTGGGTTTGAGGTATTTTGACCAGTCCTCGAGCGAAATCTCACCTTTGAAGGCCATCATCACTTGACGGCTCACATGAGGTGAACGTGAGGCAAACGTGTCTTTGTATTCATGAACACCCGGAGTCGATGTTCACCCAGCGTTTCCCGGCACAATCACCGGAACTATGCTCACCCCGCGACAACGATAGTAAGCGAGGCTGCGATGACGCTGATGTAGGGCAGTCGCGCCTCTGCATGACTCCTACGGACCAAAAGAGAACTCACCCACCCATCACCCATCACCCATCACCCATCACCCATCACCCATCACCCATCACCCATCACCCATCACCCATCACCCATCACTCATCACCCATCACCCATCACTCATCACCCATCACTCATCACCCATCATCCATCACCCATCACACATCACCCATCACTCATCACCCATCACCCATCACCCATCACCCATCACCCATCATCCATCACCCATCACCCATCCCCACCACCGCAGGAGACTCGTCTCGGCATCGCGCCGAAACGATTCAAGCGAAAACATTGATGCCATTGGTCTGCATCTATTGGATGGTAGATCCAGATCTCACGTAACAAGCGTCGTGTATCACGGAGTCAGGGCTTAGCCATCGACGCAAGCCATTCGAAGTATTTGTGTATGCAGCCGTTGTAAGGCTCGCCCGCGCCGTCATCCGCGGATGTAAAACACTGAAGTGGAGATGCCGTGGCATTCCGACTGAGTGGCAGCCGACGTTTGACACTGTGCGTGCGAGAGCTTACAGAATGGTGCAACGTGTAAGTCATGTTAACACCGTCCAGAAGAGCTTGGAATGTGGAGTGAACGCGATTGATCGTGGCCACCGGAACTGGCTCGGGCGTTTCCGGCTTAGGTCATCAACACCCACGTTCTTTGCTAGCGGTGACAGCTCGGAGGAGTGGAAGGAGGGCGGACCGCGGCACGACGCAACACTAAACGCTCAACATGCAGCTGCTGTCACTCAGCGCGGGCCAACGCTCTAAACGATGCATCTATGCTTAGAATGATCAGGGATGTAACGGATGTGAAACGCACGTTGTAACCATATCCGAGGTCAATGCCCTCATTTGCCAGCGACATGCCCCCGAAGGCTGCTTCGCATTACATGGCCATGGACCTTGTGTTTACATTCTGTAGCTTCGTCTGTACGGAAGAGTTTTTTTACAGCAAGTGTACACTTGCTACAGCATGGCCAGTAACGGGAACCAAACGCTCTCTAACATCACCAGGCAGTGTTTGTTGCTTGAGAGCTCTGACCTCACCATTTGATCCTGAAACTCAAGGTCAACGACACAATTTTGTGGTGAACGCATAACGTGCCTTAGTGCTCGGCAAGGTCCTGTCCTGCCCTCTGACGTCACCTGACCTTTAGCGCGGCCGCTGTACCAGCCGCAGGCCATCCCAGCCATGAGCGAACAGCGGGTGCTTAAACTGACTCGAATCCACTCCATCACGGGTGGATGAATCCGAACACCGGCGCTCTAACCGACTGAGCTACCGTAACGGACAACGCTCACAGTGGTCTGGGCACGAGCGAGCGCTATGTGACGTCACCGCGGGTAGCTCCATGGTAAACGTGGCTTCATT